CACTGTTATCTGCACTGAGGAATTTCTTTATTCATCAGCAGAGAACCTCTGGAGTTGATAACCTAATCAGTGGTGCTGTTTGAGAACATCTGGGCCTGCATTTGAATTCATGTTTTCTCTGTAAAAAAAAAACAAACCTATTTTGATGCACTATGTGCCATGCTGAGGTACAGGTGGGCTGCAGACAATTCCTGGGACATGACAGCAGGACGGGAGTGTTAGCTAGAGCTCACATTGTCCCACAGACAATCCCTTAGGCYTTAAAAACGGCAACATTACATTGGTGGTGGTCCAATCTGTGAGATCCATACTGAGGCAGTATAATGAAGAATTTATAGAAAAATTGAAATTACGTTTGGTCTGCTTTTAGGCCCATATTTCTATGCTAATATAAGCTTACTTTTACACAGTGTTGACTGCAGTGGCCACACAAGCACAGGGAGATGGGAGTGTGTCATTTTAGTCAGCTGGCTATTTTGATTTTCTCCAAATCCCATAACTAAAATTTTTTCTTAGAATTGATWGTGTTCTCAAACATAATTTTTTTCCTAATCTATTTTTTTCCGCTCTCTCCACAGTTCTTTGCCTTTGTGGTTACCTTCTGCTATGCTGGAAATACGTATTTTAGCTTTATATCCTGGCGATCACGAACTTTGCAGTAAATATTTTGTTTAAGTGAATTCTGTAGTGTAAAGTACCTTGAGGATTATTCACTTTTTTCACTTTTGATAAAAACTTGGAAGGGGGAGTGAGGTATTTTTGAACATTTCTGTTAGAATTTCTGTTAGAAACTGAGATCAAACAATTATTTATAATAATGCCATCTTTAGAGACATCTAACCTGACTTTGTACTATATAATAAAATTTCATACTGCTTCTTTTAAAATTAACAGGTATTTTTCTAGACGTTGTATAGTTGTTACTGCTAAAACTTYAATAAATCTTACTCAATGTGCCATGTTTGTAAATGTAACTTTTTAAATGTTGCAGGTATACTTTTGATACTGAATGCTACCAAAGCTAAGATTGATATTGTATCATTATTGTATATGAAAAGTAACATTGTGTAGGAAAAAAACACCTGAAACTTATATAAATAAATAAATAAATGATCCCACTGTCCATGTTTTGTAAACTGGCTGTAGAGGCTTGTATTTTTAATTTCTTTTTCAGAGTATAATATATAATACTAAGAAGTCTGGTGATCCTGACAGTTTGCATATTCTAACAGCTTCTAGCACCACGAGGCTGCTTTTGGAACCTGTTACTGTAGGTCTGAAGCTCAAGGCTGAAGCTGAAGAAAGGTTGTGCCTGGAACACATTATCTTAACAGGTTTCTCAGATCCAACAGGCTCCAAAGCWCGAGCCCAGACAGCATCCCCTTAGTGCTCAGTGCTGAACCTACTGAGGGTATCACAAATCTCTGGCTGAAGGTAACACTTTCTGCTTCTCAGCAGACTGTGGTTGTTTGGGGGGTTTTTTCTCCTCAGAGTAGGCCACTAATATGTTTCATTAAAATTTGGGCTTCTAAATCCTACTAAATGAGAGAAAGATTAAATCCATAGAAGAATTGTCAAGGCACCAGTGCTAGAAGCAAGAAATTTCCTCCCTCCATTCCTGTCTACTGCCATCATCTGCAACTTGTTAGTTTAACAAATGRAGTTGATGCTCATATTTAAATAACTTTGAATCAAGCAGAAGTTTGKCAGAATATGACTTTCAAAACAGATACCTTTGAAAATTACTTTCAAACACAAATTACCTAAGGATTTTTTTTCAAGGAATTATGCGGAGAGCGAAAGGTTGTGATTATTTTGTGATGTTATTTAAAGTTTTCCTCATTTAAAACTTAAAAGGCAAACCTGTTATTCTTGGATTAAGAAGATTTGGACTCTGTTCCAGTCTTCAAAAGCTTATTTGAATGATAATGTATGGTAGCAGAGAAATCTTGCTGCTTAAAAAAACCCTTCTTTATTTTCCCTTGTAACTAAACGGTGTGTGGTTTCCTACTATGTGCCTCACAGAAGATTTATCAGTAGATAGCTAATTCTGTTCTCAATCACATGATTTTTTTCTTGATTATCWGTCAGTCATAAGATTTCAGTGTAAGGGAAGCCAAGATATTATTTTAAAACCTGTATTCATCTRCAATTTGCGTTTGGCCTACACAACATAGGTCAAACGGTCTGCTCCTCACTAAAATTGTCCAGTTGTGAGAAGAAGAATGGCCACCAACTCTGCATTTTACCTACACAGATAAAATGTGTCATTAAAATCCCATGTGCTCTTTCCCATCACTGGGAAAATAAATAATCAAAGGCATCAAAATAATCCAAGTGTCAAGCGATAAAATATGACTAGAAATAGGGCCAGAATTAAAACTTCATCAGTGATTTCTCATCAGTAAAAATACTTCACTGGTAACAGAAATTCTTTCCTAGGTAATTTTTGASGTACCTATTTCAACTCCAAAGAATGTGAGTATATTTGCACAAACATTCCAAGATTTTGTAGTAACTGCAATGGTCTGGGCTAATCTCATAACCCAGATATCATTTGTGGACAGAAGTGGTAAGAGGGAGTAGAGCTAAGAGGAARTTCTGTGTTTCATCCAATTTACCTAAAACTGTCATGGCAACTGTGTATTATGTGTCAAAATAAGGCCTTTAATGAAAGATAAAACTAAATAAGGAATGATTGTGGCAAAATATCTACCTGCTCTCTSAGTCTTCTGCACTGATCCTCAAGGGAAGATCTGCCGAATGACTTCCAAAACAAATCTGTAAGGTGAATCCTTGATTTTTAATTTTAAAAAATATGTACTAGAYAAAACTTTGCTCTGCGCTTGGCCTTGCTTTTTCTTTTTTTCCACAACCTATAACTTACCTCCCTTATCTTTCCTTTTAGAAATATATTTATCTTACTTCCCTTGCTCTTTCTCATCTGTCTCATTTCTCATCTGTTGCCCAGATACCAACTGTCTTGTTTTTCAAGTGTTCTGAATATCTAGTTAAAATTMGAGGAATCAGCTCAAGCTGAGCATTCCTTCTGAAATTCGCTCCTCCTATTTCAGGCCTGAAGAAAGGTGTGAGCACCCAAAAGGTTATCTTCCAGTTCATTAGTCTTAAATATTGACTTGCAAACCATGAGTTAATGCACATGTATATTCTAATATTGATAAAGAAGATAAGCTAGCTGTAGTTTATCATATAACAATTAAAACAATGTTTGTAGCTGCCAGCATAGTACTCATAAGATTAAAAAAAGCTTTAAAAGAACAACTGGTAAGTGACAAAGTCATTAGTGAAAATCTTAATACAGATACTTAGAAGAATAAACAAAATACTAATCAACTTGTAAAATGAACATATTTGACATTGTTTGGCTTGTTTCAGACAGTCCCTGAAAAATCTAAGCCACATAAGGGTACTCAAAGTCAACTTATGGCCATTAATTTTTATTTATTAAGGGGTTGTCAGCATTTTTTTTCATCATCATACACTCTGCACTTTAAAGACAAAGTAAATAGTATGAGAACTATTATAAAAATTTCAAATGCAGTAGTGTTAGATTGATTTTATCCCAGTGCTTCACAGARGACACCTGTACTGTCAGGTAGAAAATGTGATTGTTGTTCTATTTGTATAATTTAAAGTTATTTCTGTTTCACTGATCTGAGTGTGGATCAGCAGGGCCCCAGTCACACACTTTCAAAGGAAATAAAGAACTAAAGAGGCTGAACCAGTGGGTAAAACCCCYGTATTTCTTAACAGGAAGTGSAGAAGTTACTGGAACCTTCCTCTAYAGGGYTTATAGAAACCTATAGCCATGCATGCTTCTGAATGGGAACTGTAAGGAGAAGAGAGGAAAAAAACAGATGTTTAAAACCAGAATAATTCTCTTTTTTTTCTAGCATTTTACTCTTGTGCAGGTAGCCAGTGTTGTAGCTTTGATATCTAATGACATGAGATAACATGTGGTGGGACAGATAATACCTTTTATCACAACTGGTTTGATAGAAGCTCAGAACCATGCACTGCTCAATCTACTAAGGACCATTGCCCACACTGACAAACCCATTTTTCTCAAGTAAATTGCTTGCACCAGGGCCTCGTGGGTGTTGGGGGTCATCTGGGTTTACATGTCTTCCCTCCTAGGAAAATTTTAGTCACTGAAAGAACTATTAAATACTAAATGTGAACAGAATGTGCATCCTAACTGCAGAACAAAGCAGCAGAAGCTGAGGTCACTACTCCGGTGAGTACAAACGCAGTATGTACCCWGCTCAGAGCCCCGCTATTACCTCACTTGTCAGAAAGCAGAACAAGTTATTTTTAAACTTGAGGAAATACATAGTTTTCTTTGCTGCGTTTTGTTGTATCACTGCGTGATTTAATTCAAACACTGGGCCTCAGACATTACAGTTTTACCTGTTGCTGCCCATTTAATGCAAATGGTTTTTATCTTTTATGAGATCTAAAACCAGAAGGTTCGGGGGTATTTTTGGCAATAATAAGTGCCGTGTGGGAAGGCGCAGCTCGCAGCTGTACCTCCACAGCGAAGCCCCGGAGTGGGACCCCTCCCARCGCAGCGCCGACAAACTTTGACGCGCGGCGGGGTTTGTCACTGTCCCCGCTGCGATGGCCCCTTCGTGCGGAGCTCCCTCCCGGCAGGGAGTCCCGCTCCCTGCATGGAAACCCTCCCTTCGGCCTCTGTTTCCATGTAACCCAGCTGCACAGGGCGGGTATCCCGCTCCGGGACGGCGCGGGGGAGTGTCCCTGCTGTCCCTCCCGGCTGCCCCGGACCCCGCTGGCCCGGCCGGGTGTGACAGCGTCTCCCCCGCAGCAGGGAAACCCCCGCGGCTCCCGCTCTGCCTCCCCCGCCCCGCGGCCCCAGGGCCGGGCGGGAGCTCGGGAGGGAGGGGAAAAGGGGAAGCGCCGCGCTCCGCCCGGTCCCGCCAGCCCCGGGGCGCCACCGCCCGCCCGCTCGGCCCCGCCCCGTCCCATCCCATCCCTTCCCATCCCGTCCCGTCCCGTTCCCCCGTGCCGGGCCGGGCAGCGGTGAGGGCAGCGCGGTCGCAGCCATGTCGCACGGAGCGCGAGTGATCCGCACCGGGGTGAGCAGCGGGGGCCCCGCCGCCCCGCCGCCCGTCACCGTCGCCTCCTCGTCGGCGGGCTCGGACGTGGAGCTCATGGACGGCGGCTATTTCCGCTCCTGCGCCGGCATGCTGAAGGTGGCCCAGATGGTAAGGGGCGAGCGGGGCGGGGGGCGCTGCCGGGGCTCCTGCCGGGGCCCGCGGGAGTCTCCCTCATCCCTCCGGACGGGTCTTGTGTCCTCCCGTCGGGGCGTGAGGGGGCCGCGGTTCGGGGAGGGTTTGGCTCCTCAGGTCTCGCAGCTCTCGGCAGGACGAAAAACGCGCGTTCCTCTGGCGGAGAGAAGCGTTGCCGTCCGTCCGTCTGTCGGAAGCTGCTTTGGTGCCTTCCTAAAGCAGCAGCGGCAAACTCTTGTGACCAGAGGGACGAGCCCAGAGTAGCAGAGTTAACTTTTTGCCATTAACAACGATAGCACCGTGATGCCATGGTACATCGTGCTGCAGTGGAACACCTCAGTCCTTAGCGAGGGTACGTTTTTAGGACAAAGCGGGGCCAAGTGCCAGTGCCGACAGCGATCTGGTAAAGGTGGGCACCAAAGCTGAGGCGGCAGCTCCGGCTGGCYCCGTGCCCTGTCTGTCACAGCCCTCCAGCAGTGCCCCAGTGACAGAGGGAGGGAATGTGGGAGATGTATGGCTGAAATTCAGAAGCAGTCGATGGTGGAACGCTGCCAGGATTTGAGCTGATGCCTTAAGTCARTGCATGAAATTTAGCTCCATGCAGATGTGGAGAGGATTAACAGATGGATAAGCTCTTTCTCATTTTTATGGCACATAATTATCTGTGGGGTGATTTGTCAGCTCAATTACAGTAGTGGCAGTGATAATGCCCAGGAAAGAGCCTGGAAGACATCGTGTAACRATATCTCCACACGTACATTTTCATCCTGCAGAATCTTGTGCCTTGACAGTGCTCTATCCTGGAGCTGTTGCCTTCACCTTTTATAAGCTCCAATGCCTTCTTTCCCTCTGCCTGTGTTAGTCCAGTCGGTTTTTCAAAGTTGTGTAGGTTATTGGCACACAGATTCCTAAACTGACATTAGAAGTTAGGATTCATTATGATCTAGGTTACTCAGCAGTAACATCAGATGCTGAAGTTTCTCTTTTAAAACCGCCCAGTTACTTCCAGTTCATTATTTGCTGTCARCTGCCCTTAGAAATGACCCTCAATAGCAAGAGATGAAGTTGGCCATGAACGGCATGGCTGTCTTGCCCTGAGCATCTGCCCTGAGCTAGTGAGACCTCAGAGTTGTTTTCCTCGCTATGAATTCTGCTCAGCAGGAACACAGTTGTCTGCTTGGTTTGTTCCCCAACCTTCAGGTGGATCTGGAGAATCTTTTGAGGAGATAAGTGACATTCTTCTGAGCTTGTGTCTACATTGCAACCAAACCTGTAGCCCTAAAACAGTAGACTTGTGCTTTGCTGATGAGCTGAAAGCCTGTTTGCTTTCACCACCATGGAAAGAACAGTTCCTTTTATGGACTAGAAATAACTAATCCTCTTCTGCCCTCCATCCTGCTGTTGTATCTCTGCAGCTCTGAGGTGTGACTCCTAAAGCCACCACAGCGTGGTTATTTGTGCTCTAATGTCAGTTTCTGGTGTACATAGTAAGTGTGTGCATACTTTGCATGCTTTACATATTTTCATGTGCTGGATGTAAATCKATGTAATTTTGTGTAATGCTTCACATACTTTGCATAAAGTCATACTTTATCCATGCCTTTTGATCAAGAATTCATCTGAATTTAAGCAACTGGCTTTCTGCAGTGACTTTACCAGAAGTTAAAATAATCTAACTTGTCTTTCCTTTGTACTCTTTCAGCTTCACCTTCTTATATTTTTCTGCTTTTGAGCTTGCCTGTAAATAACATCAGTAAGGGTTACCCCAGGTATTCAAGGAACTTTGGGCAAATCATCTTCTAATATCACACATCACAATAGTGTATTCTCAAATAATTACATAGGAAAACCAAAGGTGTGTGTCATAGCTTGTAGAAATAACCAGGATACATTAGTTCTAGATTAACTCCTGCACCAAATAAACTAGGAAGAGCTAAGTATTTTTACAATTCTCTTTTATCTCTTCTCAGACAGTGTTTATATCCACAGGCCCATTTGTATTAGCATTCAGTTCTCCTCGTATGAAGTGTTGGCAGTAACTTTTTTAGTAGAGATTTCTTTATGCTAAATCTGTAAACATTCATGCAATGGTGTTAATGTGGCTGGAGGCTGTAGTCTTATTGAGAAGGAGAACCCTTGTGCTGTCAAAGGGCAAAGGTAAAGTCATTTGGGTTAGATGTATATCACCCTAAATTGTACACTGGGCCTCTGATTGGTTGTGGTTGTGAAGAGGAAACGTTGCAAGTTTTGTTACCTCTTTCTTCTTTTTACCAAGAAATAAAGGATGTGATAGACAGCAAGAAAGAAACATTCCATCATTTATTGTAATGTTAAGGGCTGTCTGCTGTGCTTGCAAGCTAAAAAAATTCCAATATTTGTATGTATACATGCTTTACATAATTCTAATAAATGACAGCAACATGCTATGGAAATTATACAAAGGAATTAGAAAATAATGTTACCGCTGTTCTTCTGAGACGGAAGGACTAAACTCAGGAATATTGAGGAGATTGCACTGCGTGAATTCTTGCTAATTTTTGGATGTTACCAGTGCTATCCCTTGAAATTCTGGGTGCTGCGGTGTCTAGCATAGAATGAAATAAAGAAAAAAACCTGTTTCTTGCCTGTAAGTCTACACAAATTCCTTTACTTTTTTGGTAGACTGTTTCTTTAGCCTTGCAGAATGGGTATAGCTTTGAAAAGACAGTGTATTTTATGTGCTGACTGCATGGCCTAGGGAATGGTCTATAAATATGTTGAAAATAAAATGGAGGAGAAAACATATTTATGGGATTTGTATATTTTGTGTGACAGTAAGACAGTTTGAAAGCTGCTTTTCCATGTATGACTGWTACTAACCTTAGTGGGGGTATTCTCAAAATCCAGTCTGAAT